GGGAAAGACGTGATGATGATGATGGCTGAGCTCTTGCAGCCTGGCTTTGGGGGTGCAAGCTTGTCTGGTGCCAGACACCAGCGTGGGGTGGTGGTGCCGCCAAAGGCTTTTCGTACTTGTGTTTGTTGTGACTGGCATCTTGTCCTTTCTCTTGGGAGAAGGTTTGATCCTGGGTGGCGGAGAGAGGAAGTTCCCTCGGCTTCCTCAGGAGCTCATCCCTGCGCCTGAGGTGAGTGATGGCTGCGGGCTGCAGCCGCCCCTCTCAGGGACCTTTTAAACCCTTAATCTTCCCTGGATACACGTGTTAGGAGCTCCGTGTTCTTTAACTGTGGCGTGAGGTGTGTCACTTAACAAGATTTAACTTCTAACTCATATAATACTACCGTGCCTTGGAGGGACAGTAGGAGTGACGTATTCCATGTAATGGGATGGGAATAGGCTTCGTCGTTCAGTAGTTTTTGTGAGGTTAATTTGGGCTAATCTTTCTGTGAGACTTCAGTTTGAAATGCTTTTAGGGAACCCGGGTCTCAGATAACTGCCTGCCTTCTGTAACGTGTAGACTGTCAGTTTCTTCTCCATGTGTTCAGCACTAATGCTCAGGGATGTGTTTAACCGCTCTCACACAAGGTGCCAGGTATAAAGACTGTGAAAGCTCGTCAGGGCTTTAGTTATAAGGGTTGAACAGGGGTCCTCTGAAAAATGTCAGCAGTTCTCTCTATTAAAGGTTATTAAGATTTGGATAACTTGATGGTTCCTCTAAGAGGGAGCTAGAATCTGACAGTTATTTGTTAAATATCAATAATGGCTCTGGTGGTACCCATGAAATAATAAGAGGTATTCGGATGGGTTAACAAAGCATCCATGGCCTGACTTTGGCACCGATAGAGAAGACCAGAGTGTGCAGTAGCCCCCAGGAATGGGCAGTAATGCTCTGCTGGCAGCCTGAAAATAACCTATTTATTAAAATAAATTCAAAACTTTTCTACTCTGAGGAAGGAAAGAACTCCCATTTTCAAGTAGTTTAATATTAAGCCCAAAACCTCAATTAAAGTGGTTTGCAACCCAACACTTTTCTTTCCTCCCATGTAAATGGCCGTTTATATATGAACTGCCTCATTAAATTCAGCTGGATTTCCCAGACAGAAGGAGGGTAAATATTTTTCAGAGGCTGGTGCTAATGGAGTCATTTAATGGCAAATAAATAAATCACAATTACAGGCCTTTATTTGAGAAGCACAGGTAGAGTAGTTACAGTCAAATTCATAACTTACCTCGCCAAATACAAGCTATAAAGAATTGTCTACTTTAGATGGCTGGAAGTTATTGAAAACAGATGCTATTTAGGTCAAAACATTTGTGTTAAAAAATAACTTGTTATTCTCACTATGAATGGTTTTAAGTGGTTTGTTTGGGTTTTTAAAACATCTAAATTAGTTCTCTCAAGTTACAGGTAAAGAATGGCTTATTCTGGTTCAACACAGGACTTTGTCGCACTTTCAGATCTGCATCCAAGTCTTGCTCGTCCTGTAAGTCTCATAGACATAGTACTTTTGTTCCCAAATGAAATTGTATATGACCGTATTATATTACTGCAAAATTATGTAATTGATGTGTATTTAGATACTAACAGCATTAGTATAATTGTTAGATATAAAGTACCTTACCTTCTTTGTGGATAAAGCAGCAAAATGAAAATTGATGCTGTTGTTGTCCATAGTATGTGGATGCCACAACTATAGATATTGACTGGACAATTCAGTGTCTGAAAGTATCAGAGGCTTCTTTGTAATGTTTTAAATGGAGGCTGAATTAGTAAAGACATGTACAGAGTCAGCATTACGTAGTCACAATACATCTGTAACCTACAATAGTCTTTCACAACAAGCTATGAACCCAAGTCCTGCAGTCTTTACTTGTGTGCTCAATCCCTCTGAGCTAAATAACACAGTCCTGGATTATTCAAACAAAACTCTTGTTGAATGGTATGGCGTTTTAACTGGATAAAAATCTCACAGTTGCATGTCAGGGAGGATCACTTCTGTTCCTTTAGAACAAAAAACAGGTTTTGTGGTTGTCAGTTTACAAGGAGCTAAGAATTTTGCTTGTGGGAGGACAGGAGAGTAAGATGAACCAAAAAGTAAACTTGACAAACAGCAAAGCTTTATGGTTGGCAGGTTCATACAGATGTTTGAATATGACTTCTTTGGTGGTGTTGTCTTGACATGAGGGATGACTATCATCACTGGACTAAGAGCTGAATGGGGAATGTGCTTTAAAACTCAGTACTATTCTCCTTGGGTTTTAGATGGTTGAATAAAAAACAGGAAGTCTGGGGAGCACAATTTTTCATTCTTAGCTCTCCAAGATGATATCCTGATATGGGAAGGAGAAGATCACATTATTCTCTGTTGCAGTATTTCCCACCATCACTGTGCAGCCCACCAGCAATAAAGTGTCTTCTGAGTGTTCAGTGCTGCTGGGAGCTGGAGCCTCGAGACCTAAACAGAGGCAGCAGTTCCCCACGGATACCCCATGAGCTGTAGTGAGGAGTTCCAACCCTGTCTCCCCATGCGACTTAAAGTAGCTGCCCTGTGGAAGCCCAGATGCTTGTGGAGAGAGCAAAACCAAGTTTTCCTATTCCCACAGCTTTCTATTTGGGAGGGGCACAATATATCCTTTCCCCCCTTATTTATTTTAAACAACTGAAAGAGAAATCATGGAAAAGGGATGAACTAGAAGAAGGAGGTTTATATCCCCTCAGAGCGGTATTGTATGTTCTTTCCAACTTTTTATAAACTCCTGGTCTCCAGCAAAGCCCATTTAATCTGTCATTCCCAGTTACTCTCAAATCGAGTAATCCCCTAACTCAGTTAAAAGCATTTATTTTACAAAGAAAACTAATCTAGAGTATTGCAATTAGCAACATATGGACTCACAGGACCACAGGCTATAGTAAAGAAAGTAGTTTTATAAAAAGTAATTCACTAATATCTCATGGTAGAAAGGTCTGTGTGTGTTTAGGACGTTAAAGCAGCTGAGCACACATCATTCACAGTATCAAAATATAGTTATTTTCCTTTGCAGTTTATTTTTTAACAGTGAAATAGATCAAAGCCCCAGAAACTTTCAGTGTGTTAATGCTGTAGTCTCATGATTCGGTTGAACAACCTTAAGCAATGCCCTGCCAAAAAAGGCAGGCTGGCCTGCTTCCTCCTGCAGGCAGTTCCGCTCCTCCTCCCCCGGTGAAACTGGTGCTTGTGTAGTTGCACAATGAGCTGATCAAGGAAATGATCTCTGGAAGTTTTTTCTACCCTCTTTCTCCTCACCACCCCCCCCTTAAAATAGTTTCCAGCCAGATCACTTCCTTCTCGCAGCTTGCTCCGCAGGCTGAGTGCTAATACCAGAGAGAGGTGAATGTGTTTGCAGCAGGGAGAAGGGAGACCTCTTTTGGAAACTACAGATTTATAGCAGCTTAATTCACGTGAAGAGTCATTCTAAATGTCAGTTCTTCAGACTGGCAGTACAGGGTATGTTGCACTCTGATCCAATTGATTTTTATTTTATTTTATTTTTAAGAAACATAACCAAGAAGAGAAAAATCAAATCCTAATCTAAATCACTGCATGTTGTTTTCAGACAGAAAGTATTCTGTTAGAAAGACTTGGAAGAAAGAGGATGTTACACTGCCGGACACATACATCCTCTTAATGAGTTCGTGCCCATCACTGTAGGATAAGACAGTTACCTTGCTCCATCTAGTGATTCAAAGTCAGTTGGGAACACAAGATCTCATTTTTGAACACACATCAGTATTGTTACAGTCAGTAGGTTGCATGGCTCTGTGAAGAGGGCAAAATTCACCTTGTGTGGCTTATTAAACTGTTACTCTGCCCCTTTCCTTGCTGGCTGACTGCTGGGATGAGGAAGTTTTGTTTTGAAGGGCTTCTGCAGTGTTGCAATGTCAGTCTGGCCTTGCTTCCAAAGCAGCTTTTATTGCTTACTTCTTAAATCCCAACCTAGCACTGCAATACTCTTCTACTGAGGAGAACCTTTTTGCTTAGAAACCCCATCAGCACACAGCTATATATTAGTGATAAATATATTTATATATCTTTCTCCCCATGTGTGTCTGCTCCTAGTAGTTTTGTTTGACAATTGAGACTGGGCTGCTTTTGCATAACAAATACAGGTTTAGCAAAGCAGAATAAGATTGATTTTATTTTGGATCATCCAGAAAGTTCATTGCCTGCACTCCCTTTGTAGTTGGTTATGAGAGGCAGGCAGCAGGGAAGAGGCACCTGTAGAAATTGATGTTGCTTAGCTGAGGACAGGATAAATGGCCCTCCCTGTGGATGTGCACATGTGGATCTCGGTGCTGACAGCAGAGGAAACCTTGGATACTTAACTGCAGAATAAATCCTGTCCAGACTTTTCATGGTGCATTTAAGGAGATCTGAGACCTGTGCATAGAGCATGAAACAACAAGATTGCTGCCTACCTGAGCAGAGACTGCTGTAGAGCAGCCAAAATAGTGAATGTTTTGGGTGAACTTTTGTCCTCCTATTGTCTTTACAACCAGAACCAGATGTATTTCTCTTAATATTTTTATTAGTCACTCTTTTTTTTTCTTAAGGAAAAATTGTATGTTTATGTTTTAGGTCTTAGTTCATATGGCATTGTGGAATAAATAGATTAACATGATTACTAGTCAGAAACATGTTTATTATCATCAGTAGAGTACAAGTCCACGAAATCTAATTCATCACATACATCTGTGTTTAATACTTGTATTCTATAATCTTTTTATTTTTCAGAATGTAATCGGTGTGGTTATTGGGAAAACAGATGTCAGAGGCTTTCCAGACAGAAAAAGTACAGTCCCTTTTAACTGGTTTTACTTCATTTTCTTATACAGTATAATTTGGCATCTATGACTAAAATCAACATCTAAATGATAAACAGACTTCTTAGTGTAAAATGTATAGAGTAAAAATACACAAAAGAAATGTGTGTGTGTGTTCGGGAACCAAGATGAAAGAGCACCATCAGTTTGGCTAAACCTTATCAATTAGATTTTGCTTGGAAAAACTCCATCATGGAAGTGTTTCAGGGTCTGAATAAGATAGTGCTGATACAGAGCCACTGATAGAAATAGTGCCAGAATTGATCTGGACCCTTTGTATTCATTCTCTCTTAAAACGGAAATGTTAAGGAGATGTCTTGAGGAGTGGAACAACTAATTTCTGGTCTGAGTAGCACCAGCTTCATCTTATTGTGTACTCCTAAAGGAAAAATATGAATAATATGTTGTTAACCCAGCATTAGTTAGAAATTGAAGCAACATATCTACAGCTCAGGGTTCATACAGATGCTCTTAGGAAGCATATCCAGTCCTAAAGACCCATTCCAGCCCTGTGTGAAGGGCTCGGCTATTCATTGGCCTTGTCACCATGCAGAGCTGCTCTGGAGGTGGATTTTTAGAAGGAAGTCACCATTGTCACCAGAGACAATTCTGCATAGTGTGAAAAGCGTGTTCATTTGTGCCCCCGTGGAACTGCCATCATATTTGATTACCCTATGCAGGTCACTACAGTTTTCATTGATAATTTAAAATAACGTATTGCATAATGCTGTATGATCCATGAGAAGCTGAAAGAGAAAAGTGACTGACACCCTCTTAATCCTGAACTTTCCACAGAGCTGGAAACACTTCGCTTTCTTCAGTTAATACCCTTGGTACTATCTGGACAGTGATACTGCCTGGGTTTTGCAGCACACTGCAGACAGTGTGTCATCGTGGTGGCCTGTATGTTATTGTGGTGGCCTTGTATTGGGCACAGCTATCTCAAGACAACCTACCTGCTACAAAATTTGGGCTAGTACATGCACTCATTCATAGCGCTGTTTCCTGCATTAGTCCTGGTTATGTGTTTGCCTTGAATGCATTGGATGTTCTTCTATTTCTATTCATTAGATCTGTAAGTTTATGTGGCGCTACCCAAAATTAAGTGAATATGTGCATCGATGGGGTGGTGCAGGCACAACCCCAGCAGTAGCATAACCCCCATTCGTGAACACCAGTGAGTTTACTGAACAGTCTGCTGACCTCTAGTGGGACTCACCAGATTGCGGGCTGTAAATTCATGACAAAACACAGGAAAACCTCCAAATACCAGGTTATATCCATATACTCGAGACCGAAATCAAGCTGTGCTAGTGAACTGTAACAGTACTGTTTCTTTTTGCAGACATTGGTTCTGAAAGATACACCTTCAGTTTTACTATTCGTGATTCACCAACTTACTTTATAAATGTAAATTCTTGGGGCAAAGAAGAGTACATTAGGTCCCTTTCAGAAAGCTTCAGAGTTGGTGACTGTGGTAAGTTGGAGTTTATTCTTAACGGTTTCTTTTGAATGTGTTTTGGGTATTTCTTCCAGTACATCAGTGTTATGAGTTTGTGGTTTTGCTCTATTTTTCTCTGAGGACTCAGAAAACATTCTAATTGGAAACAAATTGTTCAGTTATGTTAAGTATAAAGAGGAAAGGAGTAAGATTTCAAGGATTTAAATTCAAAACCAGTAAATATGTCAACAAAAAGACCAGACACAAACCCACTGAATGCAGCCACCCAGACCTTACCTAGAGTTAATGATCTAAATTCTTATATTTGGTTCTTATAAATGATGAAAAATAAACTCTGTAGTTTGGTGTTTTATTTTGTCTGCATTTAGTTAGTTTTGGGTGTGACTATGATTGTTCGTAAAGACACAACAAAAATCTTGTATTTATTTTTAGTATGTGCTTTTATCTTGTTAAGTTAATAGACTTTGCTGCCCATGTTGTTATATCAGAGTGTTTGGATAAAACCTTGACTATCAAGAGTACACACACGAGAACTCGGTGTTGGTTCGTTTCCATTCAGTGTCTTGAAGACTCCTGTGGGAGTCTGGCTATAACATGAGCTGTCTGGACAGACACAGTTTTCAGTAAGAAAACATTTGGCAGCAGTTATTGCGCGTGCCTTTTCCATATCAACCTTGAAAACAGCCATTTTTAAAAGCATCTCTCTTTATATCTATCTATATTCAGTTTTCTAACATTACTTATCAATGTTTTATTTTAGTTACAATTGAAAATCCTTTAATTCAGTCAAAGGAAGCAGAAAGGGAAGAAAAATTCAACCCTGCAACTCCCAGGTAAATTTAAAGCATAGACTGGTAGTTCTTTCCAGAAAGATCAAAGTTAATACTTGCTTTAGTTGCCAGCCAAGGATCTGGGGCTAGTTGTGTTATGTAGCTATACCTTCCTCTCTGAATTCAACCCTCTATAGTCAAATATCTCAAAGGAGAATATATTTCTCAGTATGTGGTCACAAGGTAAAAATGTTCTGTGTAACTAAAGAGAGTAAATTTAATTCTTTGAATAAAGTCTGCTAGAGTTGTTTGAAATTGATGCACATATGTTGTCCTTCAGTGTATTCTCTAAAATCTGAACAACTTGAAGCCATACATGAAACTAATATTGCAAGTCATAATTTAGATATGTTCTAATTTCATTTAGATAATTAAGATGTAGATGTTATACAGACTAACACACCTGATCTTTAATGAGGGTTTCTTTCCTAACTGGTCTCGTTCTAAGATTTTAAATCATATGGCAGGCATAATAATATTGCAAAATGAAATTGGGAAGTAGGAAGTTTTATGTTCTAGTTTATTGACCATCTCTAAGCTTTGTAACAAATGTGTAGCTGTAGTAGTTACACTCACTTCCTGGCTAAGGAGAAAGAAGTAAAGGAACAAATGTCAGGTAGAAACTTCATCGAGGGTAAGTGCTCCTCTTAAACCTATGTATTTCATAAGCGTTTTAAAAATATACTTATCCAGAATATATCAACTCTATCTCATTTCTGCTGGCTAACAGTGCATTATAAACATTCCTGAGGTCACTGAGCTATTACTTTTGAAAGCACCTTCCCAAATGCAGCCTGACTGTAGTTATGTCACGATGCCAAAACCTCTCAATTACCTGGATTACAGACATTTCAGAACTGATTTTATTTTTAGTGGTTGATAAAGGCTGAAAGGTTTGAAATATGCATTGTACATTGCTAGCAATTCATGCTGGCTTTTCAGTTCTGAGTATAAAGTACGTGACAGTACGTCTTCCACAAGAGAAAAGTACATAGTTTTATTTTAAAACAAATTAATTCCAACTTTTCCACATCTTCAAGGAAAACAATGAAAACAATAAAGGAACAGATCAGCAGTCATTTCCTCAAGTGAATTGAATGAACATTTTACACTGATGAGTGAAGTGTTGATCCATGTGCTTTGTTTTGTGTATATTATCTAGTTGCTACAAACTAATCCTCAGTGAAAACCATTCAGTTGTCAGAACGTTTTCCTGTTATGAAATGGACACCAAACTGCTTTCCCTGCTGCATCTGCCTGTCAAGGACCCTCAGGATTATTATTCACTGGGTGATATCACTGCGAATGGACAAAGCCTTGATGGAAAGATCCTTAATCTGCTTGCAGCTGTCATGTCAGTAAGTTCAGGAGCCACAGGAGTCATGTTTTTCTACTGTACCATGGGTAACCAAATTGTTTGGTTTGGGTTTTTTAGTGGTCTACAGGGTTCCCCTCCCCTTTTGTAACTCCTCTATTTTCTAATCACTTTCATTCTCCCAAACACTTGGTAGAGGAAAAGTGACCATTTCTCTTTCTTCTTAAAGGTTGGGGAACCAAAGTATTTCATGACTTCAGACAAAAGGAAAGGTCAGAGGTGTGAAGTAAAGCTGTATGATGAAACAGAGATGTCTTTTCCAATAGTATGGTAAAATGGTTTTCTTTTAATTCAGTGAAATACACAAAATAATGCAGAAGTAGGTAAAGAAATTAACGATAAATCATACTGCTGCAACACTGTTAAATGTATTGTTATTTGGGTGGCAACTGTGATGACCAGCGGCTTAAAAAAGAGATTCATTAGAGTGACCTTGTATATATTGTCTACATTTATGACCTGCTGACAGACTGCAAGCTCAATGATGGCAAAATGAAGCTTGGCTCCAAAGAGTTACATTTTTTAATGTGGAAATTTGAACTAATTCAGGCAACGGCATTTGAAACCAGCTGCAAAGGCAACATGTCTTCCACATACTAGGGGGGGAAGGAGGAACATGTTGCATTTTTGAAGCCAAGCAGAATGAACAAGTGGAACAGAAATAGGTTGGAAGAATTTTTAAGTGTTTAAAATAACACAGAAACATTTTGATGCTACTTTGGCCATATTTTCACACTGTATCCCATTTACAAACATAGCTATGTCCATACCATTTATCCATGCAAACAGTGAGTTGTTTACACAGCAATATTTGCATTTTGCCTGTTGTTTGTTTAATAAACCTGTGGCTTATCTCTGGGCAAGGGTATGTGGGCACTCAGTTGCAGTGGGTTTGCTCTTTGCTGGTGGAAATGACCTTTGTTCCCTAAGTAGAAGTAGTAAGATAGCATTGTGCTCTGTGTCTGAGTTAGAAACTGTATTACCAGTCCATGTATTGCTTAACATAGTTAATGTTTACACACAAACACTCATAAGCAGCTATAGTATGAAGTCTGCTAGCCCTTGAGCTGCCACTGATGTTAACTTGCAGCAGCACCTCCAACAGTCTTGTTTCAGTGCTGGTATGTGGTGATACAGACCTGTACACCTCAGGAGTGCTCAGAAGCAGAGAAGAGGTGGTGTTACTGTGTTTCCCCTCAGCTGTGCCCTTTGCACACTCACGGCACCTTCAGTAGAGGCAGAGATTCAGGAAACCCTTGAGCAAAAGCATTGCAGTGAAGAGACCTCAGAGGCCATCACTGAAAAGGTGTCAGAGCAATGTTAAATGAAAAGCAAATATCTTAAACCATTTTCCAAGGATTAAGAAAAAACCCACCAGAACAAAACCATGCTTTGGCAGCATTCTTACCATCCAAACTGATGAGGAATGGAATGAGATTTCATCGAGGGGCCTAGCCATCAAATTATCATTCTTGAGGGATACCACTGACCTCATTCGAGTCTCATCATCCACAGTTACAAGGATTCCAGTGTTGGAAAGCTGGCTGAACATCTGGCCCAGTGATGTAAGCAATCACCTTGTTCCCACAGAAGAGGCTCAGCTGATAAGCAGTTATTTTATCTGTGATTTGTTTAGTTAGAAATTACTGTTGTCCAAGCTCTGAAACACAGTATTTTTTCCAGGTATATTCTGTATTTAATCATTTTGAACAATCTAATAACCCTTTATTTTATCCTGCTTGGCATGAACAGGGACTGGGTTAGACTGTACATAAAGCATCCTGGGTGGCTGCAAAATAGATGCCTGTGGCTACACCTGGCATTTCATTTGTGTGTCCGTGTAACAAGGGAGTTGTGTCCCCTTTGATCAATTCAGTTATAACTGTATTATTTAGTGGTCAAACAGTTTCAGTGTTGTTTCAAAAATGTTTTCATGCATTAACTTCTTTTAATATAGTTGGGATAATGAATCCATCCAGCTTGCACAGAGTTGGGTCCCACGAGAAACAGGTATAATAGTCTGGGGTTTGTGTTTTTACTGGAGCTCTTCACGTGATATTTATTCTTCAATAACATTTTGGTGGGGGTTTTTTTTGTGCACAGTGATATTTGCAGCAGATGTGAGAATAAATTTTGACAAATTTAGGAACTGTATGACTGCAACTGTGATATCAAAAACCATCATTACAACTAATCCAGGTAAGAGCTGGGGCAGCAATGCTTTGCTGTTAGTAGTCATTTTAGGCTAGAATGCATGAATGAATCCATTGGAGGTCTGGTTTCTCCTGCCTGCTTGCCTCAGAAAGCTTCTTGTCTGCTAAGTAGTAGTGACCAATGCTTTTGGCTTCCACTGTTTAATCTTTTTATTTGTTTTATTATTTTATCTAAGCAACCTTCATATATTCCATGTAACACTAACAGTTAAAGAGAAAAGCATCTCTTGGCTCATTCCAAGAGACCACGTGTTGGTGCTACCAGCATAAAAAGCTGTAAAATATAATTATGTTGTTGTTTTAACATGCTACATGTACTAATAACATTAAAAAATACATTTTTCAAGAAACAGCAGAAGCAAATGTTCTCTTCAGCTTCATAAAAGAGAGTGCACAATCAGGAGGCTTGTGTGACAAAATGATACAGCCCTCAAAAGACTCCGTTAACTGTAAGCACGAATCTTAACTCTTTGAGTTTTACTGAACTATGTAGCATAGCTTCATAATGCAGCTGAAGTGTCAAGTTCTTCCTCTGTGTGCTCACAGAAACAAAACCGAGGTGGCTGAATATTTCAAGTTTGGACTGTTGTTACTGAGGCTGTCCCTTATATCATCAGTTCTGTATAGCCAGGGTCGGTGTCTATACAATGAGTACAAAAAATGGAGATGGAAAGTTTGTCAAACTCATTTTGAGGGATACAAAGATGAAGTAGTAGATATTTTTCTATTCCTACTCCCCTTTTGTTTTATTATTTTGTCCCTAAACAATAAGGCTGCTTCAAAAAGGTGTGTGTGTGGGGGGGCTTTTCTGGTGCTTTAGATCAAATCCTCTCCTTTTTATTCCCTCAAGATCCTTTTCTGCTGTTGCTCTTCTGCACTGTTTCTTTCTCAGATGCACTTAACATGTCTTTTAAACTTCTAGTGGAGATTATAGTTGATGTTTATACTGTGGAACAGCTGAAGCAAAAAGCTTTGCAGAGTGATGTGAAACTTGAACCCATCTATGGAGTTATTTATGGCTACATTTCTACCCTGGACATTGATGATAATGCATCTAAAGTTGTGCGCAACAGATGGTAAGCAAGTGCCTGGTTTAAATCTGTATTAAGAAGTGCTTGTCCATGCTCCCCTGATCTAAATTAGATAGAACAGCATTTTAGTCCAGTTCCAGAGAAGGAATTAAACATCCTCTGGAGGATGCCATGTGGATGTCTGCTGTGTAGACTTCCACAAGCAGCAAGGAAGAGGATGGGCTTTATGAATGACTTGCTTTTTCTGGTCCTAGAGGAGCGAAGGAGAAAGAGGCCATTTTGTCTCAGACTTAAGAGGTTAAAAGATGAAGAATGTCTTTAAAGATGAAAAGTCTCTTGGAAAATCTCAGTCTAGAAAACCATCTCAACCAAGGAGGAAATGCACAAACATATTAATTATCTTCTTATGTTTCAGTTCAACATGTCATTTCATAGTGAACGAAGTGTCAAACACATGCACTTTCTGCAGTGATATCTCTGCAGATTTAAAGTCAACTTTTGCAAGCTTTGAGATACTCGTTGATGTGACAGATCACACAGGCACTCTTCATTCTTGTTACCTGTCTGACTGTGTGGCTGAGGAAGCATTAGGATGCACAGTAAGTAGAAAGGAATCAGGTTGTTTTTATTTGATCTGAGCTGTGAAGCTGGACGAAAAATACAAATGTATGTAAATGTTCTTTCTGTATATTTGTGTGGACTGGCTAAAAACTGCATGTACATATGGATATACGCCCCCACACCCCCCCACTTGTCTTTTTAACAAATCAAAAGTTCAAGTCAGTAGTTGCTAATAAGAAGAAATGTGTTAAATGTAAGAGTGAACACCCTGAATACTGCTTCATTTTCATTAATTCACACTTTGCTGAGAACACATTTACAATCCCCGAAGTTTGATTCTCAAACCCCCTGCAATTTATCTTGATGAATCTGACAGTCTTAGTAGATATATCACAAAAAACCACCATGTTAAAGAGAAACATACAGCTTAGAAATGCCTAAAAATGTGCAAGATGCTCTTTTCATCACAACTTTGTTGCAGAGCTGCTGTTCTAACTGTATGCTGAGGTGTTCTGTGCTGTCCTGTTGTTAATAGGTCCAGGAATTCCTTGCTCTAGCAGAGGACAAGAAGACTGCATTGAAATGGCAACTTCTTTTGGAACGAAGCAAAGTTTATCTTAAAGTTAGTATCTAATTTAACTGAAAGCAGGGGCTGTTTCCCAGCAGTATATTTAGAGCTGAAAAATGCCATGTTGATTCTCCTGAACTTTTAAAAATTAGGATTAGGTTTTGCTCATATTCTGAACATTCCAGGTAAACAGACTTTGTGGTATTTTCAGCATTAGGGGATGTCCCTGCAGGATCAGATGTATGCAGGCTTCTTCCAGGCAAATTAGGAACGACACAAACTGCTCTTGGCCAATACTAATGCAGGAGCTGACTTTCCAAAAGTATACATGATTTATACTCAGTAATGACTTTTACTCCTGATTTTTACTCAGTCACTGACTTCTATAGCTGTAGGTTTATAATGAATAAAGTTAACAGTATCTGTTGGCAAGAACAAGGCACACACAATATATGTAACAGATGGTACCTGGGGTTACCCAAGTATATTGCTCAGCTACCTGTGTTTTTGGACATAATGTGACTAAGTACGACTAAAATCTGCAATTCTCCTTAAAGCATCAATGATATTAGATTCACACACCTGCAGCAACTGCTGAAAGATCTGGTCTTGTTTGCCATGTCCTTTACTTTTTTAATTGCCTTGCTGTACTGGAGCCCTTGACCACAGAACTGCCTGTTCTAGGACAACTCTAACCAGCTGGCACTGGAACTGGTGAGGCACTGGAATGGGTTGCCCAAAGAAGTGGTGAATGCTCCATCCCTGGCAATGTAGAAGGCAAGGCTGGACAGAAGCTTTGGCTACA